TTCACTTTCGGAGGCCCATCCCCGATCTATCGACGATGTCTCGACGATCCAGGCTCGATGTTCCCCTCCACTGGGCCAGTCCCCCCTGACGTCCCCCCGCAGAGAAGCCTTCAGGAGGCCTCTTCGGGGGCCGTGGGGAGGGCCGTTGAAGGGCTCTCGGAGGACATTCGGGTTGGGGGGACGGGGGGAGAAGGAGGATGGTTGGATTGTGGTTCGTGCACCCTCTTTGTGGCTTCGCAAGCAGGACATGGTTATAATCGGTTAGCTGAGCGGCGATAGCATAGATACTCACCAGCGAAAGTGTTGGGCGTCTTTGCAAGAAGGGGGCAGTACTGATTGCTGTGCACTGTAGTGCGCTGCCGCACCTGATCTTACCTTCGCATTTATCTGGAAAGTGCGTTGGATCTCATCGTTCCGAGATTCTGCAGGGAGTGGAAGAGGACAAGGCGTGGTATGCTGGGCGTGCCAAGATTTACCCGGTCCGTACTTTGCCACCTCCTTGCTTGCCTCCACCCTCTTTGCGGGGATCCACCCGAGGGATGGGCCTGTGAGGGGAGAGAGAGAGAGAGAGTGGAGTCGCAAGAGTTTGCTGGTGTGGCCCTCTGTTCGTTCCACTAGACCCCTCTGTTCGTTCCACTAGACTCCTGTCTCCAAAGGCGGCTGGGTGATTACTGCGTGCTCAGGAGCACGAGATCGTGTGCCCGTTGATTGTGTGTGTTCTTTCCAGTTCTCTCCTTCCTGTCTGCCTCCAGACCAGGTAGTGGAACACACATGCCTACGGAGTCGAGTCGAGGACGAGGAGGAGGAGGAGCAGTCCCTCGCACGCCACCAAGAATGTTTTATAGTTCTTCGACCTCCCTGGTGGCAGGGGAGGAGGCAGAGGAGCAGGAGACGGAAGGGACCCTGAGGAAGAGGGAAACAGAAAGGCGAGGAGGAAAGGAGGGGCGCCCTGAGGAGGACACGGACGAGGACGTGGTCTTGCTCCAGGCGCGCGATGGCGCATCGCGCCAGCGCCTCCAGCCTCATCGTCTTCCTCGTCCTCAGTCGCCATGTTGGTCGACACCTTGGTAAACCGCACACGTGGTTTTCCCGAGGGCATTGGTATCCATGGGCCAGCCGTGTTCGGACAAGTCCTACTCCCTCCTCCTCCTCCTCCTCCTCCTCCTCCTCCTCATCATCATCATCATCACCATCATCATCATCGTCATCATCATCATCAACATCATCATCATCATAATCAGCATCATCATCATCATCATCATCATCATCCTCATCCTCATCCTCATCCTCATCCTCATCCTCATCCTCCTTCTCCTCCTCCTCCTCCGAGCAGCGAGCGCGGTCTGTCGCGCCCGCGCTTGCGCCCGGAGACCCTCCACGAGCACCGCGACGAACCGGTGGAGCACCTTCGCGGGTACCTCCCGGCCAGGTGTCAGGCAAGCCCTACACCCGACCGGATATCCGCCCGGCCGGGGCGGGCAAGCTCGCCCCGGCCGGATAACCGCCCTGGCTCCTCCTCCTCCTCCTCCTCCTCCTCCTCCTCCTCCTCCTCCTCCCTCTTCTCCTCCTCCTCCTCCTCCTCCTCTTCCTCCTCCTGCTCCTCCTCCTCCTCCTCCTCAGCCGGCTCCTCTCCTCCCGTTCCTCCTCCTCCTCCTCCTCCTCCTCTTCTGCTCTTCCTCCGCCTCATTCTTCTCGTCCTCCTCATCCTCCTCCTCTTCGTTTTCCTTCTCCTCTTCTCTCCTCCTCCTCCTGCTCCTCCTCCTCCTCCTTCTCCTCCTCCTCCTCCTCCTCCTCCTCTCCTCCTCCTTCTCCTCCTCCTCCTCCTCCTCCTCCTCCTCCTCCTCCTCCTCCTCCTCCTCCTCCTCCCCTCCTCCCCTCCCGCTCCTCCTACCCCACCCCTCCTCCTCCTCCTCCTCCTCCTCCTCCTCCTCCTCCTCCTCCTCCTCCTGGGATAGAGCTGGGGTGTCCCGCCTCGGGGTCGATCTTCGCGCTCTCGCTGGACCCCATTGTTCGTGCCCTCGTGTGTGCGTTGCCTGAGCCAGAGTCTTGTCTGTGTGGATTCGCGGACGACCTGATGCATGGCTCGCGTGACCTGTTCGAGACTGTTCCGAATGTGCTGGTGATAATGAACCAGTGCGCCTTGGCGACGGGATTGCAACTGAATAGTACGAAGGCCGCGGTTGTATTTATGGAGGGTTTCAGGGTCTCGTGAGGTGGGTCAGAGATACGTGGGCTGGGATTGGGGCTTGTCGAGACGATTTTGAGCTACAAGTCCCTCGCTCTGCCTGTCACGCAATTCGTCGCCCAGTACTTTGAGCCGCCTCCTGCGCTGTACCGTCTGGAGGATGAGTGCCTGCAGCTGCTTGTGAACGGGCCGCGGCATGCTGTCCCCCGAGCTGTCTTCTTCGATCTTGAGGCGATAGGCGTCAAGCTCCATCTGCCGCAGTTGCGGCAACTGTGCATGGCGGCCAGATATCGGACCGCGAAAAAAGTGAGATGTTCCCCAAGCTGATTCAACAGTACAAAGACTTGATTGAGTCTGACGATTTCCTGATTGCACACCAGTTCTCTGAGTTGCTCCCCCAGAGCCCGCTGTACCAGTTGAACCGTGTTTGCGAGATGCTGGATAGGATCCCCGATGTTCCCGATGATCCAGATAAACGTAATTTCCAGGCTGCTGTGTTACGCGCGATTGAAAAAAGTGACCCGCCAGAATCCGCGTGTAAGGCTTTGATTCCGAGATTGCAGTACTTTTGTGGGCGTGAGACGGTCCGACAAGAAATGAGCACCCTACTGATGATTAGAGTTGGTTGTCTAGGGCAGGTGCTCCCTGGATTTGCGATGAGTAGTCTGATCAAAACAATGTGCAACGCTTGGTGCACCACGCGTAGGTACCACCATGGGCCTGACAGGTGCAAATTCGGATGTTGCTGTGTCGGAGGAGATGACGTCCTCCACTATCTTGTTTGTCCTGCCATCTCGCCTGTTGTTTCAGCTCTGCTCCCTCTTTTGCCTCATGATTACTCCGAATGGAGCAGTGAGAGGAAGCTGTGCCCTTTGTTTTTTGTTGGCTCCATTCATGCGCATGCGAGTTGTGTCATTGCCATCGATCTGCTCTTTCATACTTACAACAAGGTAAGGAATTCAGGTCGGAGGCTGAATGTGGCCAACCTCCTCAAGGCGCGGGCCAAGGTGCTGGCCCAGAGGCAGGCGGGGCTGCGGCGCCTGCTCAGGGGAGAACACGCGGGGTTGGGATGAGCGCACCTCCTCCTCCTCCTCCTCCTCCTCCTCCTCCTCCTCCTCCTCCTCCTCCGCTCCAGGATCGCCCTGCGGCACTTTCCAGGGATGTTGTTCTTACCAGATTTCTCGGGGGTATCTGGCCGTGAACAGAGCGCCAACGATATTCTCGATCCTCGAGATCCTGAATCCCCAGAGCCCTCGAGATCCTCGATCCTGGACCCGCCAGGGCCGCCTCCGATCCGATTCGAGGCGATTCGATTCGCTGTCCTGGGCCGCGATTGCGACTCGATGCGATGCGGCTCGGTCCACAGGCGCCAGCCAGAGACCGCCAGGGGCGCAGCGATCCGATGTTTTTCGATTCTGTTCGGGGCGGCTCGCTGGCCATCCGATCGGTTGTCCGGGCCGACCCGACCTCGCGAATCGATCCGAGGGCACCCCTCTCCGACGTACACGGCGGGGAGGCTCCGGCAGCGAGGAGCGCCTTTCCTTGGCGAGGCGCTTGGGGAAGGGGGGCGGGGGGTTGCTCGCGGGCTCGCGGGGGCCCGGGGCCGCGAGCCGATCCAGCGCAGGCTCAGACATCCGACGGTGTGGGTTTTTCCAGCGCGCGCCCCGAGAGGTCCAGGCCCCTTGCCAGCCTGAACCCTATCCCTATCATTGGTATCGCCTCATCTCGATGACGATCTTCAGGATTCCCTCGGTTTTCGGGAGCGCAACCCTAAGATGTTCATCGCCTTTTGACTTGTCAATCTTAAGGATAGAGACAAGTTCGAGGCTGGTTTTTCCCCAGGCCTAAGATTGGTGGCTCCAGAGCCCAACAAAGGGACTCCGAGGCCGAAATCATTGAACAACTACGACATGTTAAACATCACATTGTCGGAGATTTGGTGGTCCCGGGGCCCAACAAAGGGCCCCAGAGGCCGAAAACGCTTCAAAAGGACCGTATTCCAGAAAGCGCATCGTCGGAGAGCTGGTGGCGTGGCCCCGCGGGCCCCGCGGGCCCCGCAACGGGCCCCGGACGCCGAAATCGCGGAAAAACGTCAGAGATTAAGGGAGCGCAGCGTCAGAGATCTGGTGGTCTCGGGGGCGGCAAAGAGGGGGGTGATGACTAACTAGGGGGGGGGTGCATATCATGGCGGGGGCCATGATATTCCCCCAGATTTTAGGGCGCTTCTTCTTATTTCATTACGTCCCTGGCCCACCCGTTGGGCCGAGAACATGCCGCCAGTCATGATTTGCATCCCCCCTCTTGGACACCCCCCTCTTGACCGCTCCCGGTAGTCGCAGGGCCCAACAATGGGCCCCATAGGCCGAAATCGATGGAAGAAACGTTTGGATTTGAACAAGCATATCGTCGCACCTCGTTTTGGCACCTCAGATGGGGTCGGAGCAGATGGGGTCGGAGGATCGCGCCGCATCCCCGATGTTCGCCGTTGCATCGCCGATGCATCGGCGATGCATCGGCGATGCGGCTCGATGTGGAGCCCGAGTTCCTCCGCTACGACGTCACCGATGCATCGGCGATGCGGCGCGGTCCCCCGACCCCATCTGCTCGGGCCTCACAGGAGGCCTCGACGGTCGGGAGCTCGGGGTTAGCGTGTCGCTTCGCCGATCCTGGCCCACCGCGCCTCGGTGCGGCACGCCATCCACGCCTCGGCCCCGCAGCGCCCGCGCGCCGAGCTCTCCCCGAGCTCCCCGCCACGCGGGGCGGAGCGACACGCCGTCCAATCGCAAGGCATAGCGTGCCGCCGGGGCCGCCGGGGCGACACGCTGCCCAAGAGCCCCCGACCGTGTAATTATACCCTCGGCGATCCCCCCTCGGCGATCCCCCCCTCGGCGATCCCCCCCTCGGCGATCCCCCCGTGTATGTATGCCCTCGGCGATCCCCCCCTCGGGGATTCCCGGGGGAATTCGGCCAGGCCGAGCTGCGCGCCCCGCCCGCGGAGCCCCTGCCCGAGAGGGGGCGCCTCGTCGGGGCGCGGGCCCCGGGGCCCGGGCGCACCCGGGGCCGTGGACGGCTGGGGCAGGGAGGCAGGCGACGGAAGCACGACACGAGAGTCAAGCAGTGGCGAAGCGTCCTGGCGTGCCTATAGTCCGACCAAGCAATGTTCTAAGAACCTTTTGTGGTTCCCACGAAATGGTCTTAGAACATTTTTGGTTGAGACTGTCTTGTTTTATCCCATCGGGCTTATGTTCTAAGTGCTGCGCTTCCTGGGACGCGCCGCTCCCGCAATGTACCGTGATGCGACGATGCGGAAATCCGTATCTGGGTCTTCGCCCGCATTGGGCCCTCAACTATAGAATGCTGGTCGCCTCAACTGCCAGTCCTTCACCGTCTATTGTTTGCTGCTGGTTACGATGACAATCAAGCCACGATTATGATGTTGCGATGTCTTACTAGTATGATTAATCTGATTATTATTATTATGATTATTATTATTATGATTATTATTATGAGTATTCTTATTATGATGATTATTATTATTATTATTATTATTAATATTATTATTATTATTATTATTTTTAATATTAACATTATTATTATTGTTATTCTTATTATTAGTATTATCCTTTTTCTTCTTCTTTTGTCTCGCCCAGTGTACTGCGATCAGGGGCACGAAACACTGATCGAAGAAAGAGAAGCGCAGTTGCTCAATCCGTACCTGGGTCTTCGCCCAGGCCGCAGAGGCCCCGGCGGGCCAACCCCGGACCGGCCCCGACCACGAGGCGCGCAGCCGGCAGCTGCAGAACCGCATCGGGGAGCTGGAGGGTGCGGGCAAGCGGCAGGACCGTCAGCTGCAGAAGGCGCGGGCGTCTCTTCCTCCTTCCCCTCCTCCTCCTCCTCCTCCTCCTCCTCCTCCTCCTCCTCCTCCTCATCCTTCCTCTTGCTTCTCCTTCCTCCTCCTCCTCATCTTCATCCCTCCTCCTCCCCATCATCATCATCATCATCATCATCATCATCATCATCATCATCATCATTCCGTAGCCATTTTGGCTCAAGCCATTTTGGCTCAAGTAAACCATTTCCTCGAGGTGGTTCAGAGACCAAGCAGCCGAGCCCGTCTCCGACTCGGCCCGCGTTTCAGGGGTCTGATTCGGGCTCCTTATCTACCAGTGAGCTCCTGCTGGAGCCAGCGCTACAGAACATATCGCCATTACACCTTTCGATTCCCGACTCTCGATTGGAACCATGGGCTCGCCTGCCGCGAGCGGTGATGCTCTAGCTCAGATCATGGCCCGTTTCAATGCCGTGGATCAGGGACTCGCAGATTGCAAGAAGCTTGGCGAAAGAGTCCAAGCCAACGAGGCCAAGATGGCCCTATTCGAGGAGAGCACCAACAGAAGCTTCGCCGAGCTCCGCTCCAAGCTAGACGCCATGAACTCTGGCATCCCCACGGACAAGGCCGACGTCCTCATCAAGCTGCAGGAGCAGGTCACCACGCTGAGCTCGCAGGTCTCGACAATTTCGCGGCCTCCATCGCTTACTTCTACAGCTTCGTCTGGATCCCAAGTGCGACGTCCTCGCGCTGCCGCAGCTGGACCATATGACGAAAGCAACCCGTGCCGCCTCTGGATCAGAGGCTTCCCGCGCAAGCTGATGCAGACGCAGTTTGAGGCGCACTACTCGGTCCTCAGGACCAATCTTCCATCTGAGCTGGCATCCAAGGTGACGCCGAAATACCAGAATTTCAAGTACTCGTACGCAATCGACTTCGAGAGCAAGGCCCAAGCCGACAGCTGCTGGGGCCACTTCAAGGGCATCACGATGAGGTGGATCGACCCGCGCACCTCGCTGACCCACGACCTTCGGCTCGGCAAGGACCAGCCATTGCCCGTGCGGCACAAGGCCTACGCGCTGGGACTCGCCTACAACATCATCCAGACTGAGATGAGGAGCAAGGAGTTGTGGAACGCAGCCTCCATGAAACTCGGCACCAACCCGTTCCAGGGCATCCTCTACTTGATGGAGAACGGCGACCCATTCGAGATGGTCAAACTGAAGGAGGTGATCGGCAACGGCGACGGACGCTTCGAGATCGACGTCGACGCTGAGAGCTTCAAGCACTTCCGTCTGGAGGAATCGTTCACGAACGGGCTCTCGGACCGTGTCCAGGCGCTGCTGGCTGAGTAGGAAATTCCTGAGCAGATATCCTGTGCCACTCTCGCACCGCCCCTCTCGCGTCGCCGTCTGGAGGACGGCTCTTGTTCGCCGAGCTTTGCAGATCGTGTGCGCGGCGAAGCCTCGCAGGCTATGGGTGCCCACACACAAGATCCGCTGGATGGCAGATCTCCTCCTCCCGCGCCTCCTCCTCCGTCTGGTGCTGAAGAGAGTGCAGCTTTCATAATTCGCAACAAGTTAAGTATCGTTTCATATAATTCGGCCACTCTGTTTGGTAGCGTGCGCGGCTCACATGCACGGCAAAGCAAGAAACTAGCAAAGATAACACAGCTTATCAACAAGTATGACATTGTCCTGTGTCAGGAAGCTCACGGTTCTGAAGGCGACTTAAGCTCTCTAGAGCGCGACTTCCCCTCCCACGTCCACTTCGGCTCCTTCTGCTCTATCTCGTCTAGTGGTGGCTGCACTATTTCAATGCGTAAGTCTGTGATGAACTGGTTTGAAGGCCAGCCTGAGATCACCCATATCAGTGGAGGGCGATGCTTCTCCGCGCGGGTGACGGGTGCGAAAGGCACGATGTTGATCATGAACATACACATCGAACCCCTCCTCCCTCATCAAGCAAAATATGATCTCATGTCGCGTGCAGCTCGAAGTATACCTAGCAGCAACACGTGCCTCTCTTTCTTGGCTGGAGATTTCAACTTTGTTGAGGAGGATGATGTGCGCATCCCCCTCGACGGCAGCGAGCCCACGGTAGGGGGCACCACTCTGGCCAGGCACTTCGGCGCCGTCTTCCCGTCCTTCTGCGAGATTGCGCAGACGGACTGCACCCACAGGACTCAAGTGCGCAACGTGGTCACCTCGGTCGCTCGGCTCGACAGGATCTACACGAATGCCCCCACCGGTGAAATATTAGACTGGCACCCCAAATCTGGAACAATTGGTCTCGCACACAACGTCGATGAGGTGTCCGATCACATTCCTGTGTTTCTGCTGCTGTCTCCTGGGTCCTCGAAGAGCCAGAGCATCCCTAGGTGGGTCTCTGAGCATCCCGAGTTCGGTCAGGTGATTGAATCCCTCATCGAAGAAGTAGGCCTCGACGGCTCCCCCTTCCAGCAGCTGCGCCTGCTGAAGGACATCTTTTTCGCCGCTAGGGAGGAGCTGACACATCGGATGTTCAAGGGCGGGGTCCTGACCGACAAGCAAAAGATCGCTGTGTGTTTAAAAGCCATGCGGGCCCTTCGGGCTCACTCTCCTGGTTCGTCCTGGAGCCAATCCTCTTCCTGGGTCAAAAAGTGTATGAAAGCTTATCCCGAGTTGGCTAGGTTTATTGATTCTGACAGCTGCAGTTATTACGACTATAACGCGTTCCATGGTCATTTGACTGAGCTCAGCAGCGCGGTCATCCTGGAGGATCTCGCGAAGCTGCCTAGCGCTGAGCACGGTTTACAGGAAGTTGAGCAGCAGCGAACTCGACTTCACCAGCGTCTGAAATCTTGGTCGCCGAAGCGGCGGCGTCTCAACTTGAGCGGCATATCTGCGCTTGACGGCTCCCCTCTTGGCTCTCTAGAAGAAAGTGCTCAAGCGCTGGCGACGCATTGGGGCGAGGTCCATTCTCAGGGACCTGGGCTTCACCCGAAATTTCTGGAAATCCCGTGCGAGCTTTCTGAAGATATTCCTCGGGCCGCTCCTGGTATTGAGTGGGAAATCGATTTCGGGACCTTCCAAGGGATCGTCGTTAGTCGCCGCGAATCAGCTTGTGGTCCTGACGGAATTCCATATTCGTGTTGGAGACACGCAGGAGAGCGCGCTCACCGAGTGATATTTGAAGCATACCAAGCATTATGTGCAGGAGCCAGCTTGCCTTCGGGGTTTAATCACGGGCAAACGGTGTTTCTTCCCAAAGATGTTCTTCCAAAAGATCATGAGTCTATAGTCCGTCCATCTAGCCAAGTTCGGCCGATCACACTTAGCAACACCGACAACAAGCTCTTGGCTAGTGCGATCTGTGTTCCCATGGGACAGCAGGCAGTATTTTCAACCGACCCGATGCAAAAAGGCTTCGTCAAAGGCAGATACCTGATCGACAATATCCTCGATATTGAAGGCAAGTTTCTAGAATACGCATGTTATAACGACTGCCCTTTCGCCGGCCTGTTCGTGCTGGACCTGAAAGCGGCGTTTCCGTCGCTGTCCCACAGGTGGATTCTGCACGTGCTGCAACGCATGGGCATCCCCGATTTTATCCTTCACGCGGTTGGCCAGCTGTATTCCGACCTCTACTCCTTCATCATTTTTGCTGGAAAAAGGTTCCCTGGGTACCGTATCACCCGCGGCATAAAACAGGGGTGCCCTCTTTCGGGCGCCCTCTTCGCCCTGGCCTTCGACCCCGTGTTACGGAAGCTGGAAGGGATTTTAACACGTTTACCGACTCCTACCTCCCCGTTCGCTTTCGCTGACGACGTTGGCGCTGCGATGGCTGACTTGAGGCAGTCCTTGCCCGCGATGATGAAGCACTTTCTCAGGAGCTCGATCGTGACAGGTCTGCTCCCGAATTTGAAGAAGTGCGTGATTGTCCTTGCCGTGGAGTTCGACAGAACCGAGCTAAATAAAGAGTTCAAAAAGTGGGGGATCAACATAAAGTCCTTCCAGGTCGGCACCCACGGGAAATATCTTGGGGTAATGATCGGCCCGACTGGGCCTGCGGCTTCGTGGCATCTTGTTCTGGTCAAATTTCTTTCCAGGATCGGGCATATTAAGACGCTGAAGCTCGGTTTAGTTCAGAACATCTACGCCTACAACTCGCTAGCTTTCTCGATCTTGACGTACCTGATGCAGGTACTACCGGTTAGGCCCGAGGTGATCCGAGCCGAAACGAACGCTCTTCAAAGGCTGACCATGGGTCCGAGGCACGCCATCCCTACCCTGGTCCTCAAGAACTCCCTGGACTTTGGGTTCCTTGTCGAGCCCCGCAACCTCCAGGCCACGAACAAGGCCGCGATGTTTCGGATCGCCCTCCAGAGTTCAGCCTTCGCGAGAGTGAAGGAGCGTCTGCATTTTCTTGAGCGCGAAGATGTCGAACGGCTGGCTGTTGTTCGGCATAAGTCTTGGCTTGCGGAGTCTATGTGCGGCTCCCTGATTAAGAACTGGAACGAGCTCACGACGATTTGCCCGACGATCAACGAATATACGCACGACGTCCAGCGAAAAGTCACCATTGCCGTTGCCAAAAATCAGGGACGTCCTTCGATGCCAGTCCTGCTCTTGCCAAGGATTCGGAAGTTCTGGAGTGAGGCCCCCGTAAGCCACGCCGATTTTATTTTTCGAGCCATTTTCCTCGCCGCTACCAAACAAGCCCCCTTCGTTGCCTCCTCTCTCCTCAAATCTGTTTGTAACGCGTGGCCCACGTCGGCCAGATTTCGGTCAGGGAACCGTTGTTGCGTCATGGGCTGCGGTGCCGCAGACTCCGACCACATAACGCATTACTTTCAATGTCCTGTGCTGCTGCCACTGCTTCCTAGTATCATCCCGTCGCTGCCGCCTGATTTTCTCGAGTGGAATGCTCTCGATCGATTGCTGTTGAGACCTCATATGCCGTCCAGCCGAGCCTTGCATGGTACCATTCTAATGCATGATCTTTTACTCACAACTTATAACGCCATCCGTTCACAGTCGTCTCAGGCAGGTCCTGTCAGGGTGGAGGCCTTGATGCGGGCGAGGGCCCGTGCAGTAGCCAAGCGCAAGAGGGCCATTCGCGAGCTGCTGAACCAAGGCACCTAGCCCCCTATGGAGCCTGACATCATCATCATCATCATCATCATCATCATCATCATCATCATCATCATCATCATCATCATCACCATCATGATTCCTTATCCTTCTCCTCCTTCTCCTTCTCGTCCTCCTCCGCCTCGTCCTCCTCCTCCCCTTCCTCCGCCCCCCCCCCTCCGACTCCTCCTCGTCCCTTTCCTCCTCCTTCGCCTCCTCCTCCGCCTCCCCCTTCTACTCCTCCTCCTCCTCCTCCCTTTCCTCATCCTCCTCCTCCTCTCCTCCTCCTCCGCCTTCTCCTCCTCCTCCGCTCCTCCTCCTCTCTCCTCCTCCTCCTCCTCCTCCTCCTCCTCTCCTCCTCCTCCTCCTTCCTCTCCTCCTCCTCCTCCTCTCCTCCTCCTCCTCTCCTCCCTCCTCCTCCTCCTCCTCCTCCGCCTCCTCCTCCTCGTCCCCCTCATCCACCATCCACCTCGCCCTCCCTTGTCCTCCCTCCTACTCCTCCTGATCCTCCTCCTGATCCTCCTCCTCCTCCTTCTTCTCCTCCTTCTCCTACTCCTTCTTCTCACTCCTCCGCCTCCTCCCTGAGCAGTCTCGGCAGAGTGATTTTGGTTCTGAGTGGCCGGGGCCGATGTGCATCAGGTTGGCGCTCGATCTCTTGCCTAAGCAGTCTTCTGTGTGTGGCCCGACCATGTCGCAATTGCCTTAGAGGACTGTTTGCTAACAGGCGCTGCTGCCAGCAGCGTTTTGCCGAGAGCTGTCCGGATTTGCGCCCGGATTGCTTTCTCTGTCAGGCCTCTCCTGGCACTACGTTTCATCGCCGTTTCGATTGCCCTGCGCACGCCCCTTGGAGGAGGGATGCTTTGGGTCTTGATCTGAGGCGGGCGGCTGCCAACGGTCGCCGCCTCAGTCCCCAGGCGCAGGAGCTCTTTGCTAGGTGTGTCCTCCCGGATCACACTTGTTGGTTTTAATTCCCCCCCGAGGCCCCCGAGGCCACAGTATACAGGTTTAAGTGCCCTGCGGAAGGGCTGTTGTTGGAGGCGGGAATCCACATGTTTCCCGACGGCTCGTGTTACGAGCCTCGGCTGCCCAGGATTCGTTCGGCGGGATGTGTGATGGTGGTCACGGACGGGTGGAGGAAGGTGCAGCGTGCCTTGTGGGGCCGAGTCCCTCGCTCTGAAGCCCCAGGGCAAGTAGCTTAAGACGGCGAGGACTATGCCATTGTGTCCTTCGTTCGCCACGCCACTTTATTTCCAGGGGTTAACCTCCACATTGACTGTGCCGGCACGCTTGACCATGCGTCGGACCTGCTCTCGGACTTCTGTCCCGACAACGCAAGAGCGCACATGTGGCAGCACGTGCACGATAACCTTTACGGCGTAGCGGTGCACAAGGTGCAAGCGCACTGCAAGGAGCGTGACGTATTGAATGGGAAGCTCACGCGCCTCCAGCATTTAAGCAACCAAGCGGCGGATGAATACGCCAAGCGTGGAGCCTCGTCAGGTCGGCTTCTGGATGGCGACAGGCTCGTAATTGAAGGTTGTCGTGAGGTCGCGCGGCTGACCTCAAAGTTCTCGGCCGAACAGGAGGTGCGCATCGGGAATGGTAAGCAGTTCGACCATGTCAGCCTGGACTGGCTTAAGCACATCACCCTCGACCTTGATCCGAATCTCCTTCCCTCTGTGCCTTCCCCCCCCTCCTCTTCGGGGTGACGAGGCAGGTCGCGAGGGGCGGGCTGGGGACGGGATCGCTCCTGGGCCTGACGACGCCGCCGCCGGTGCCGTCCAGGAGGCCGAGTGGCCCGACCTCCACGTTGGGCTTGCTCGGAAGCATGCCATGTACGGGCCTGCTCGGAGGCATGCCATACTGGCGGCGGGCATTGGTGCGACGCGGCAGGGACGGCCCACGGCCCCCCCTCGCCTTCGGCACGACGTGCGGGTGGTCCATCTGTGCCATAGGGGGGCACCGGTGGAACATCAACGCTCTTGTCGGATCGCCTTGGCCACCGCTCTGCTGGACGTGAGCGCCAAGTGTCGTGGATTCTGCAAGGCCGCCACCCTTCGAAGAGAGGATGTGTGTGTGTGGTTTCTCGGGCCACCGTTTCATCTGACACGGCCCGCGACTAGCTGTCGGGCAAGATGGGTCTGGACGACCCGCCTGCCCGTGTGCCTCCGTTATCCAGAGGTTCTTTGGCGGCTTCGTCGGGCGGCGGTGGGCGGGGCGGGGCGGGCGTCGACCTGCAACGCGGTCTTGCGCTCTTCGGGTTCAGCTCCCGGGAGGAGGCTGAGTCCCTCGGGGCTTGTGCGCTAGAGAGCAGACGGCAGCTTGTGCCGTCCCACGAGGAGGACTTTGACCCCTAGTTTGTTTGCCTGTTTTCTTCCTCCGCGTTTGCATGTATAAATGTGGTGGTACCTGCATAGCCGTTGCCGTGCTTATCCCCCCACAATTATTCAATGTCAATACTACTCTCCTCTCTCCCCTGGTGACGTCCGGGAAATGTCGGGCCCCCCTCCGCGTACTGGTTGGTTACTCACAGGATTCCTGGGAGTTGGGTTTTCGCTCGGTTTTTTTTCAAAATGCTGCTTTCGCTGGAGCGATGGCTTCTTTTTCGGGCTACCGCTCGTTCCGAATCGTGCTCCCGCTGCAGCGCTGGACTCATTTCCGCGTTTCCGCTCGTTCCGAATCGTGCTCCCGCTGCAGCGTTGGCGTCATTATTTCCAGCGCCAT